CAATAAGCATATAATTAATTATGTTCAAATAAGTGTCACCATTTTATTGATTTTTGGTAAAGCTAAATTTTCCATCTTTGTTGTTATGCAAAAATATGAGAATCATTTTTACGAAAAAAAAAATTTAATGACGACTCACTATTTAATGATAAATTTTTTTTGTTTGATAATGATAATTGCTGACAATGTATAATATATCAATCAATCAAATGTGATCTTAGATCTTACACCTGGCCAAATACTTTCTTTTTTTTTGAATAATTATAAATATTTGAATACAAACAAAATGTGATATCAATTACGATTCAAACTTTAGAATCAATAGAATGAAATGATATAATTGCTATATTTTCATTCCAAAATATTTCATTAATCCAATCAATAAATGATCAATTATCAAACTTTTGTCCACTTAATGCTTATCCATCATATTTATTTTATTATCAAAACTTATGCAAAAAAAAAAAATTTATCATTCAGGTTTATTTACCTTAAATTACTTAAAAAAAGAAGCATCTTGTACGAATGCATTACTCTGTCTCTCTCTTTCTCCCTCACTCCTTTTCTTTGCAATTTTTTTTTTTTCATAAATCTGATAATTTTTCATCATCATGATAAGTAAATCAAAATTAATATTTTAAAAAAAAAATCTAACAAAATGAAAATCAACTGATGAATCATGTCATGTAATTGCTTCCAGAATTTTATATACAACATTTTTCAGTCGATTATTAATTATCCGGAAGATTTGATTTCCGGGACTTTACGCGCAACATTTTTCAATTGATTATTAATTATCCGGAAGATTTGAACAAGCTTACACTTGCTTACATGCAAATATTTATCTAAATTTTAGCGAATTAAATTATGTCGTATAAAGGAAAACGATGGAAAATTAATTGGAGAAATTACGCTAAACATTGTTGACCACTACTGACCATAACTTTAATTACAAAATGTTGATTGATGAATGAAATCAATCAATGATTGCTATCAATCTCAATCATGTAATTTTAATTTGTTATTTTAAAATTTTAAATTAGTTTTAATTTTCCCCACAATTCTTATTATTATTTCAAATTTTTTTCACTTTTTTCGATAATATAATTTACAAAAAAAAAAAAGAAATTTGCTAAAATTTGTCAAAAATGTCAAGTATTTCTCGTTGATCACATTAGCATGAAATCATTTTTAAGCTGACCAAAAATTATTGAAAATTATTAGCTGCTCATTCCTGCTCGGGATAGTGAAATAATTTTAAACTGTCAATTACTATGCATCAGAAATAACATCATTTTATATCATATCATTTTGCTATAATATCTTAAATCATACATCTTGAAATGCCAGGAAATCTTAGAGAAATGGTAAATAACAAACAATGCATTAAGCTAATTAAAAAAGAAAAAAAAATAATAACAGCAAAAAGAAGCTTTAAATTCATTAAAAAGTAAAATTCAGAGTTATATTCTAGCAAACAATTAATCAGTATTAATAATTAATTCGTACTTTTTCCTATTTTTTTTTTTTTTTGTAAAATAAAACATCCCATACATTAAATAAAATAAATGCGCGATCATAGTGATATAATGCTTTCAGAGATTATCTCATCCTATTTAATGATTTGTAAAAATAACATTTTTTCTTTTAATGGCGTTAAAATCACAACAGGATAATATATGATAGAAATTGCCGGGATTAATAATGTTTGATGATTTCCATATTGTAATTTAACGCCGTCTAGAAGTTGAACCAAATTTGATTGGCACAACTTTGTCCGCATCACTTTCAACTTGTCGTGCAGTATGTCTAAAATCAGTAATTTCATTAAAATTAAAAAAAAAGCTTAATGTAATTTAAAAAGAAAAAGCTTAGTGTTGATTGTTTCATTGTTTTAAAATTAAATGCAAATTTATCCGTTTTTTTTAATTTCAAATAAGATTAATTCAAAACAATTTCAAACAAAATTAAATCAAAAGTTATTTCAGACAAAATTAACTCAGAATTATTTCGAATGAAATCAATTTAAAATTATTTGAAATAAAATTAACTAAAAATTATTTCAAATAATACTAACTCAAAATTATTTCAAATGAAATTAATTCAAAATTATTTTAGAGGATTATTCATATATTGATAAAAATCAATTTTATAGCATTATTTTGTTAAATGATATGAAAATAAATGATAATTCAAACATATATATATAATAACCTTGTTCTAGCATTTCGCATTTCTGCAGATGATGGTACTTTGATTGGTACCGAACTGACATTTTTCATAACACGTCCACGTGAATCAACTAAATTTGTTTGTAAAACTGTATTCAAACCATAATTGTTCTTTCCAGGAGTCTACAAAGAAGAATTAATTAATTTTTCTATAATATATAGAGATCTCATATTAATTACTTAGTCTGAATTGTATCTCAAACTAAATTAGAAATAGTTTTTCTATGGTAAAAATTTTAATTTATTGGATGAGACATTTCATACAACGGAGAGCTTAAAAATCTGTATTTTGGAAATTACTACGAAATATTTATCAAATTCTTGAATGATCCCTCAAGCATAAAAACAATAATAATAATTAATAGTAATAATAATAATAATAATAATAATAATAATAATAATAATAATAATAATAATAATAATAATAATAACAATAATAATAATAATAATAATAATAATAATAATAATAATAATAATAATAATAATAATAATAATAATAATAATAATAATAATAATAATAATAA